AACTCTTCCCGAGGGAGATTATTTGAGGAGTTTGTATCTCCAATTCAGCTGGACCATGTCGTGGCAGAGAGCCCCAGTCTCCGTGATCTTGCATTTCGCTTGTACTAGTGCCCCATGTTGCCCCTTGGCGTGGTGATATTAGGCCCGGGGCTAATAGCATACCCCGCCGGCGGGATATGTTAAACGGCCATATCGGTCCTAACTATTCGAAATATTGCTGGTTTGCTCTAGCACAATATTAGGCACCTGCCACTGCAAGCGAGTTGTGGTCCACAACCCGCTTAGGATTCCTAGGATATGTCTCGTATCATGCATAGGTTTATTCAGCGAATGCCCATGCAGCCACGTGGCGATGCGCGACAAGTACGGCCGCTGGATCTCGTTCCGGCCCCTCATCTCGCTCGGCGGGCTTGACTAGAGGCTAGCTCGGCCCCATCGAGGCCGTTTTGCGGTACCCTAAACGTCTTTTTAATGGGGCGGCGACAGGGCCGGCACTCGCGTCCGGGGGTCGCCTTCCGCGACGCCCCAATAGCGCCGATTCGGCCAGCGGACTCGTAGGGTAGTCCGTGGGGGCTGCTGGGGTCATGCGCCGAGGTGGCCGGCTCGGAATCGAGGCCATGGCGTCGCCGCGCGCGCGCGAATGCGAGCTTCCCATTGGTCGATTCGAACTGAGCTGATGTGGCACTCGACTCGGCGCCAGCGCTCGTCCTCCGAGAGGCAGCCCCTCGCGCTGAGCTGCTCGTGGAGCGCGACGCTTGGAGCCTAGGTGGCGGCGGTGGACACCTCGTGCCCATGGGTGACTCCGGAGGTGCTCTGCTCGCGGGAATTGGCTGTGTCGTCGAACGCTTGGGCGTCGGAGCGGCGATTCCCAGTGGTTACACAGCTTCGAGTGCCTCTGTAGCAGCCCCAGGGTGGCACCACGGGCAGCCGAGCGGCAAGTACCACGCTCTAGTATGTCGGCGAGCACAGCGCCACGCCATGGACCGCGCCGTGACCGGAGCCATTCGCGCGGCGGCCTCGAACGACTTGCATGGCGCACAGCGTCATCGAGTGTACCTGGTTGGCCAAGGGGCTGCTCACGTTAGTGTTGGGGCCTCCAGGCAGGTCGGACGGACCCATGGACCAGATCGGACGCAAGAACGCGACCACGAAGGTCGAGATGTGCATCACAGATCGATTCGAGCACACCGCGGCCACTGCGCGCGAGCGCGGTCGCCACCACTGCACGGACTTCCACCGAGTCTTGTCCCCCCGGCCCTTTTTCCACGCGCGACGGGTCGGGTAAGGAGCGGCCTCGCCGCGTTGCCGCCATTGGGCTACCCGTCGTCACGCGCTACGGCCGGCGCCGGGGTCGAGTGCCGGGCCTTTGGCTGCCCGGCCTGAGCCTCGTGTGGGCACGCCAGACAGGCGGCATCTCGGACTCGATGCAGCGGCATTGCATCTCCGGTGAAGCGAGAAAAAGCCTCGGTCTGGAGGCACTGCGAGCACACGCGAAACCCCGAGGCCCGCAACGATGAAGACCTACAACATCGAAAACGAGCACAACGTCACCACTACGGTCGTGAAGATCGACAACGACCTCGACACGGACGACGCCATGGCCCTCGTGAGCTTCTTCGTCTTCATGTTCGCCCTCATCCTGCTGGGCCTGCTCATCTACTACGGGTCGAGCCTGAAACTCTGGTGGCGCCAGTCGGTCGTCTTCCCCATCCGGCGCCTCTGCTGCGAGAAGGAGCGGAAGCGGCTCTGGCGCCTCCACAAGGACGCGGTGATCCGCGCGGACCGCGCGCTCGCGGGGGCGCGCGAGAGCGACCCGTCGCTCCTCGAGGAGGCGCCGTCGTCCGAGGACCCCCTGGAGCGCGCCCTCGACTCGCTCGTGGGCCTCGAGCCGCTCAAGGAGGAGATCCGCGCGCTGCGGCGCACGCTCGTCGTCGAGCAGCAGCGGCGGAACGTGCTGAATCTGGGCGGCGACGGCAAGAAGCGCAAGGCCGCGCGCGTGTCCGCGCCCCACATGGTCTTCCGGGGCTCGCCGGGCACGGGCAAGACCCACGCCGCGCGCCTCATCTCCCAGCTCCTCAAGGAGCTCGGCTACGTCCACGGCGACATCGTCGAGGTGCAGCGCGCCGACTTGGTCGCGGGCTACGTGGAAATCCACCAAACTTCAGAACTCTCTAGCTCGGTCAAATCGAAGTCGATTCGGCTGATTTTTGGACGAATCGATTGCTCTCATCGAGTTCTCGAAGCACAGCCGAAGATACGGCGCAATCCGTTCAATTACGCGCACATTGAAGTCGGGTTGAAGATTTGATCCACACAGGTCGCGGGCTACGTGGGCCAGACGGCGCTCAAGACGCGCGCGGTCATCAACCGCGCCAAGGGCGGCGTCCTCTTCGTCGACGAGGCCTACGCGCTGACGCCGGGCACGTCCGCGGCGGCCGGCCGCGACTTCGGGGCGGAAGCGGTGCAGGAATTGATGCGCGACCTCACGTCCGGCGACCCCGTCGTCATACTGGCGGGCTACCCCCGGGAGATGGAGCGTTTTCTGAACGTGAACCCGGGCCTGAGCCGCCGCTTCCAGGTGCGCTTCACCTTTGCGGACTACTCGATCCAGCAGCTCGCGGCCATCTTCGTGAAGATCGCGGACCGCAACGGCTTCCGCCTCGGCCGCGACTGCTCCGCGGCGCACCTCGAGCACGTGCTCTCGACGCACTTCCCGGAGAGTTTGTGCCGCAAGTGGAACGGCGGCCTGCCCGAGGGCCTCTTCCGCCGCGCGCAGGACGCGCTCGCGAAGCGGCTCAACGTGCTCACGATGTCGGCCGAGGCCGCGCTCACGCTCACGTCCGCGGACGTCGTCGCGGGGGCGAAGATCCTCGCGGCGACGCTCGGCGGCGACGACATGGCCCGGCCGCCGGCGCCGCGCCGCGCGCCGCGCGTCGCGCCGCCGGGCGCGCCCGTGGCGATGCCGCGGCCGCCCGCGCCGCGCGCCGCGGCGCCGGACGACGACGACGACATGTACGAGG